AAAAAAAAAAAAAAAACAAAAAAAAAAAAAAAAAACAAAATAAAAAGGATTGTGTTGACAGAGACCACTGACCTGAGCTGGGAGCTCACAGACTCTGGACCGACAGCTAGAGAGCCTGCATGAGACCAACCTAGGCCCTCTGCATGTGTATGACAGTTGTTTAGTTTGCTCTGTTTGTCTGGCTCCCAGCAGTGGAATCAGAACCTTTCCCTGGCACTTGAACTAGCCTTTGGGAATCTATTCCCCATGCTGGGTTGCCTCACACATATTTCATGCAGCAGAGGGTCCTGCCTCAACTTGGTGTGCTATGCTTTATTGACACACATGGGAGGCCTGTTCTTTTCTGAATGGAGGCAGAGAAGTAGATGGGGAACAGTACATTCGAGGCAGAGGAGGTAACAGGCAGAGAGGAGGGAAGGAAAACTGTGGTTGGTATTAAAGTAAGTGAAAGAATTATTTTTAAAAAAAGAATTGTGTTGGAAATTTGATGGCAATTTGATTGGATGTGCAGATTGCTTTTGGTAGGATGGCCAATTTTTACTATGTCAATCCTACCAATCCATAAGCATGGGAGATCTTTCCATCTTCTGATATCTTCTTCAATTTCTTCTTCAAAGACTTGAAGTATTTTTTATCAGATGAATCTTTCCTTTCTTGATTAGAGTTTAACCCAGGGTACTTTATATTACTTGTGGCTATTGTAAAAGTTGATCTTTCCATGATTTCCTTCTCCACCTGTTTATTGTTGGTATATAGAAAGGCTACTGATTTTTTTTAGTTAATCTTGAATCCTGCAACTTTGCTAAAAGTGTTTATCAACTGTAGGACATCCTGGGTGGAATTTGGGGGGTCACTTATGTATACTATCATGCCATCTTTAAATAGCAATGCTTTGACTTCTTCCTTCCCAATTTGTTTCCCCTTGATCTCCTTTAGTTGTTTTATTGCTCTAGCTAAAACTTCAAGTAAGTGTATTGAATAACATGGAGAGAGTGGACAACATTGTCTTGTTCCTGATTTGAGTTTAATTGCTGCTTTGCATTTCTCTCTATTTAATTGTTGCTTTGATGTTGGTTATAGGTTTGTTGTAAGTTGCCTTTATTATGTTAATGTAAATGCCTTGTATCTCTAATCTCACAGGGGACTTTTATCATGAAGGGGTGTTGGATTTCGTCAAAGGTGTTTAAGGTATCCATTGAGATGATCATGTTGTGCTTTTTTTTTTTTTCCTTTCTGTTTTTCTTGTTGTTGTTAATATGGTGGATTACACTAACAGATTTTCATATATTTAACCATCCATGCACCTCTGGGATGAACCCTACCTGGTCAGTGTTAATGATAGTTTTGATGAGTCCTTGAATTCAGTCTGTTAAGTATTTTATTGAGTATTTTTTGTATCTATATTCATAAGGTAAATTGGTTTGTAATTCACTTTCTTTGTTGAGTCTTTATGTGGATTAGGTATCAGAGTAATTGTAGCCTCATAAAATAGAGCAACCTTCTCTCTGATTCTATTTTGTGGAATAATATGAGGAGGATTGGCTTTAAATTTTTTTTGGAAATCTGAGCTAAAACAAACTGGTCCTGGGCTTTTTTGGGGGGTGGGGGAATGGAAGAGTTTTAATAACTACCTGTATCTCACTAGGGGTTATAGGCATTTAAATCTCTAAATGATCTTGACTTTGGTAAGTGGCAGCTATTGAAAAATTATACATTTCTTCAGATTTACCATTTTAACAGAGTACAGTAAACCCTTATGATTTTCTGTATTTCCTGGGTGTCTTGCCCCCTTATCATTCTGGTCTTTGTTAATTCAGTTACTCTATCTTCATCTTTTAGATGTTTGAATAAGGGTTTGTCTGTCTTCTTGATCTTCTCAAAGGAGCAACCCTCTTTCATCGATTCTTTGTATTGTTCTCTTTGTTTCTAGTTTACTCATTTCAGCCCTGATTTTGATTATTTTTGTCATCTACTCCTCTTGGGTGTGCTTACTTGTTTTCGTTCTACAGCTTTCAGATGTACTACTAAGTTGCTAATATGGGATCTCTCTATTTTTTTTTAATGAAGGCATTTAATGATATGAAATTTCCTCATAGCACCACTTTCGTAGTGTACCTTAAGTATGAAGAAGGTATATATTCATTTTCACCCAATTCTAGAGACTCTTTAATTACTTATTCATTTCTGTCTTAACTCATTTTTTCATTCAATGAAGATTCAGTTTCTGTGAGTTTGTAAGGTATCTGTTGTTGTTGATAGCCTGCTTTAGTGCCTAGTGGTCTAATAGGATGTGGGGAGTTATTTCAATTTTCTTGTATCTGTTGTGCCTGAGTATGTAGTCCATTTTGGAGAAAGTTTCATGAGGTGATGAGAAAAGGGTATATTCTTTTGTGTTTCTGTGAAATGTAAATACTTGTTTGGTCCTTTTTGTTTATAATGTCAGTTTAGTTTTCACCCAGATGACCTGTCTATTGGCAAGAGTTGGGTGTTGACATCTCCCACTATTATTGAAGAACAATATGACATTGAACCTATAGTAGTGTTACTTTTATAAACTTGGTTGCCCCTTGTGACTAGGGCATAGAATTTATGAACTGAAATGTCATCTTGGTAAAATTTTCCTTTGATGAGTATGTGGTATCCTTTCCCATCTATTTTGATTAGTTTTGTTTGAAGTCTATTTTGTTATATATTAAAATGGCTACAGTACCTTGCTTCTTAGGTCCACTTTTTTTTGATCATCTCAATATTGTTTCAACAGACTAATTTCAGTTTACAACTATAACTTTACTGCATTTTTCCCAATAGATTATTTTTATTAGTTCAAATTAGAAACAAGGCTGCTTCATATGTCATTCCCTTCTCCCTCTCACTCCCCTCCCCCCAACTCCCTACCATTCCCCCTCATCCCCCCTCTGCTCCCCAGGGAGGGTAAGGCCCTCCATGGGGTTCCCCAAAGTTGGTCATATCATCCTGGGCATGACCTAGGCCCTCCGCCTTGTGTCCAGGCTGAGAGAGCATCCATCCATGTGGGATGGGCTCCTGAAGTCCCTTCTTACGCCAGGGATAAATACTGATCCAGGTTTATTTTCATTGTGCTTCAACTGTGTTGGAACATTCAGGGCTTGCTGTGGTAAAATAGCTGGGCTCTAGGAGAGACATATTTCCCTGACTGTTACTGACTGTGATCTTATACTGTCATCTACTCATATGTGTTTGGGATGATTTTAGGTACAGGTGTTGATATGGGTCCAGGTTTGTTTCTCTTTGTTTGATGAATGTTTTGTTTCTGGGTTTCTGTTTTCTCTCTGAAATTTTGGAGGATATGCTGCCTGTGTGCTGCCTATTTTCCTGGTCTCTCCAACTGGTGTGATCACAGGGAATGCCTGTAGGTGTTGAAAGCTTGTCTACAGTGATAAGTGGGGAGATGAGGCTAGGAAAATATGGATAGTCTATGGGATCCACATGAGATGTAAGCAGGGGGAAGAGAGACTTTAGCTGTTATCTCTTGGAGCACTAGGAATGAAACTTGGTATTTTTTCTAAAAAAAAAAAATCCCGTAATAAATAGGCCACATTGAAGGGAGCAGGCAAAAGTACCTTGGCCTAAGTACTGCCATTTTGACTTCAGACTCCATTTTACCTATAGGGTAAAATAAAGTTCAGGTTCCCAAACCCTAGCGGACATGAGAACTTTCCAATGGCTGGCCAACATCCTCCCTAAACCATAGAAATAATCTTTATTCATCTTTCTTTTTTTTAAGAAACATTATGACTATTCCTAACAACAGAAAAAAAATGAATCTGATTGGTGGGACTGAAAGATTTGCATTGTATGTTGTTGACAATAATGGAAAACACAAGGAAAGACCTTCATCTTTGACTTCTGATTGGTGAAATTTGCAATTGTATAACTTGGCAACAATATTTGTGATTTTTGTGCTTATAAACCCCACTTCAGACCCTGCTTTGGACTGTCCTTGCTCTGATTGATCAGTGACCCATGTATTTGGGTGATACCTTGTTTGTACAAATAAAGTGTATCTGAAAATCAGAGGGTGGAGCTTGCCACTGGTTAGCCATTGGGGCCAGGCAATGGTGGTACACACCTTTAATGCCAGCACTAGGGAAGTGGAGACAGGAAGTGAGATGTCTGGGTGGAGAGAGGAATATAGGTGAGAGGAAACAGGAACTTGCTCTCTTTTCAGCTGGGAAGTTAGCAAGGTAAGGTGTGGCTGTGGCTTGATCCTTCATCTCTCTGATCTTTCAGCTTTTACCCCAATATCTGACTCCTGACTTTTATTATTAAGACCTATTATAATTCAAGTTACAGCTTATGTGGTAAATTACTAAAATCTTTGGGATCTGTAAATGTTGTCTCTCTCTTTCCTCGGGGCTCATAACAGGCTAAGTGGAAACGCATGTGTCCTCCCCTTCATGGAATTGGTTGCCCTTAGTGGTAATCAGGGAAAATGATAACAGAGTTACAGCCACAGCATTGCCCATCAGTCCGCTCATAACTACTAAACTTCAGACAGCAGCAGAGACTCCCATGGGAATAAGTACAGATTCAGACTATTGGTCAAGTAAACTACAGAATAATAAATAAGGAATGTGCATACCTGGCCAAAGATCAAGGCAGGGGCATTGCAAAGTCCAGTAACACAGACACTGCAGTCTGCAGAGGAGGAAATGATAAGCAAATGATCACATGACACACACAACTGCAAGGAACTTATCCGGTCTTCATGAGGTTGAAATGATCTGAGCAAAGTTGGAGATTGGGTGATTTTGTTCCCCGTGGAACTAGTACAATAGTCCTGGATAAACAGAAATACACAAATTTTTAAAAATCCAAATATTAAATTGTAATTTAATATCAATCTTTAAGAAGCCTGATATGGAGGATACATTTATAAATGATAACCTATGATCCACCTTCAAGAGTGAGTTCATGATGATAAAAGTTAGAAACAAAGCTATTAATGTTGACAAAAGTCTTGACACTGAAATGACCAACTTGGGAAAAGAAATGAGAGAGAGAGTGGTCAGAGAAAAAAAAAGTAAAGTATAAGTCGGGATCTGATAGAAGTGAAGCTGGCCAAATGGAGACAATATTATATCATCTTATAATTTTTTTTAAATGGAATGAGTAATCAGCTATTACATCAACTAACTCAGGATGTTGATAACAGTAGATGAAAGACCATCACACTAGATGACATTTAGGATTTGTTTCAAAAAAGATGTATCCAATTGTTTATGTTTAAACAGTGCTACAGTGAAGTACTGACAAGACTGCAAATTGTCATTGGACAACAGACATAGGTATATATTAATATGGCATAGCAGTGAGAAAAATGTGTGTGTGTGTGTGTGTGTGTGTGTGTGTGTGTGTGTGTGTGTGTGTGTGAATTACTTTAAAACATTCTATGCTCAAATTGTGCTAATGGCTTCTTTTTTTGTTTGTTTTTTGGAACAGAATTTCTCCATGTAGTCCTGGCTGTTCTAGAACTTTCTCTGTGACCAGGTTGGCCTCAAAGTACAGAGAGATGCCTGCCTCTGTCCCCTGAGTGCTAGGATTAAAGACATATACCACCATTGTCAGGAAAATGGTTTCTTTATAACACTCAGGACAGAGCATTTCCTCCTTTATCTGGGAAACACCTCCTTCATCAAGGTGTGGCTCATAGTCAAATACTTCTTTCTTATCAGATATTGTACCAAAAATCAATGATGATGATAGAAGATTATTTTCCATTTACCTCTATATTCCAGATTTTCAACCATCCATCAGGATCTCCAGTGGCAAGGTATTGATTTTGTTTATCAGTAGACATAACAATGGATCCAACTCCAGCATGAGCCAAAAATTCAGCCAGAAGTTCTTTCTTAAATGTGTCCCAGAACCTGACATAACCAGATGCTCCACATGATACAAGGTTAGCACCTCCTATTACATAGGGGAAGTCTAATTAGGAAAATAAACCCAGAAATCCAAAGTGGCTTCTCCCAGCAGCTCACCCTGTTGTGAGCATATGAGAGTGGAGAGGCCAGTAGCACTGCAAGCTATCCTGAGCATCATTTTGATTCTCTAAATTATAAGTTGGTCATTTTTCCATGATAATATTACTATAACATTAAGAAGAATTAATATGGATTGTTAATGACATAGGTTATATAAAATATTCCACTGTTTGGTTTACTTTCACCCATTCATTACATTGATATTATTTGCATTAGATTTAGATAAAATTAATATATTTCTTTGATGAATTTATGGAGTCCTAATTATGATACTCTCCTGAAAATACAAAATTTATTCTCCCGAATGAGCCATTGAACATGTACAGAAGAGATATAGATCTGGATGCATGTATGCACTCATGTCAGCACAGATATCAATTCTCTAGTGAGCAGCAAGTCATGGATTCTAATTATGAGCTCATTTTTAATTTTTCCTTAGGAATTTTATTGTAAGCCCTTATAACCCTTTTTGTTGCTGTTAATCTATTTGGATCTAACCATTTATGCTTTATATTTACATAAAATGATTTGTGAAAATATCCATCTGTGGCAAATTTATTAATAAATCTCTAGATGGCTTTTCTTTTGTTACATAATTGTGCTGGCAATTAGCAATGGAGTTAAGGTGGAAGTGATGGCATGTCTGTTTCAGTAGAAATAGTTTGGAACCAACATTAAGAAGAATTGGTTACAAGGAATAGTGGAGAGGCTACTTTAAATGCCCTTCCCCGATAATGAGATTAATGACTACCTTATATGCCATCCTAGAGCCTTCATCCAGTAGCTAATGGAAGCAGAAGCAGACGCCCACAGCTAAACACTGAACTGAACTCCTGGAATCCAGTTGCAAAGAGGGAGGAATGAAGAGCAAAGGGGTAAAGAGCAAGCTGGTGAAAACCACAGAAACAGCTGGCCTTAACAAGGGGGAACTCATGAACCCCAGACTGATGGCTGGAAGGCCCGCCTGGGACTGATCCAGACCCCCTGAATGTGGGTGTCAGTGAGGAGGCCTCGGCAACCTACGAGGCCTCTGATAGTGGTCAGTATTTATCCCTGGTGTACAAATGGACATTGGCTGCCCATTTTACATGGAAGGATACTCTCTCAGCTTGGACACATGGGGGAGAGCATAGGCCCTGCCCGAGATAGTATGACAGACATTGATGATCCCCCATGAAGGGTCTCACCCTCGCTGGGTAGCCGAAGGTGGTTGGGTTGGGGTGTTGGTGGGAGCCGGGGAGGAGGGGAGTGAGAGGGAGCTGAGATTGACATGTGAAGCAGGCTTGTTTCTAATTTAAATAAAAATAAATGATAAAAAAATGAAAAAAAGAATTAGTTAGAAGGAATTGAGAGTAATTTTAGGATAATGCTTCATAATATGAGAATAAGTATGTTTTGAAGAATAGCTGTGTTTCAAATTCATCTTAAATATTAAATAATGTTTTTGAAACAAATGGGGTTATAACTTTACTGATGTTGATTTTATACAGCTATCACACAGATTTTCCATTTGCAAATTCAATGTGGAAAAGTTATCATACAAATTATGGTTCAGATATGTTCATTTCTTTTTCCAAATATACAATGCTCATGTCTAGAACCCACACACACACACACACACACACACACACACACACACACAAAATTATTCTCAAAATATAATTTAGATGAAAATTCAATGGATATTTTCTATGTTATATTTTGTGGACCAAGATATAAGATTTATCCACATCATGCTATAAAAGTAGTCACATTGTTATTTTGTTTATAAACTAGCAGCTCACCACAAAAAGTCAGAGTACCACCAATGTTAGAATCTCTCTTTACAAAAAAATTCAAATGGGACTCTGACCTATTGCAAGAAGTAAAAATCAAATAGCAAAGACACTCCAATCATCTCCAAACAATATTAAAGGTGTGAACCAGGAAGCCCTTATCATGGGACATGCAGTCAATTCAAACCTCCCCATTGAGTCCAGTCTCTAACCTCAATTCAGTAACAGCTAGAATTTCCTTGATACATGTCAACCTACACATTGCACTCATGTGTTTGTAACATGTATCTAACTATGTTCTCTGCCCTTCTAAAACACCTATATGCCATGACTGTTATCAATTGTTTGACAGATGAAATAATTGTTAGAATTTTTCTTGCTCTCATCTCAAACTAGACAATGGGTAAATTATTAGAAAGATCCATTCACATCCCTTCCCAGAATAAGCTTCCTGTCCAAGTGTCCCTGGAACACTGTTCATGAACCACTGCAGGCTTGATAGCTACACAAAGTCAAAAACTGTGAGACCTAGATAATAAAGTAGATTGATTGAACTTCCTTTATTGCTCCCTTTCTTAAATACAGAAAGGCAAACAAACATAAGCATATATTTTACCTGTTGCTGCATTGTTTTTTCTTGCTTGAAGGAAGCAAAGCTTCATAACAGCATTATTACCTTCTGTGTCAATCTCAAAATTTTGAGCAGCCAGTGTGGCCTGCTCTTCGAAGCAGGGCACTGAACAGCTTCTATTGGCATTAAGCTTTTGGGGTTCTGGGTCTGTGGTGAAGAAAAGCACAGGGCTCTTGGTGAAGGGAACCATCTTCATTTCAAACCAGCATGTTTGAGCAACAACAGACCCTCTCCCATCCTGGCCTTGGGTGAGATGATACCATCAACTCTCACAACAAATATTGAGTCAACACTTGTCAGTCCTCCTACTATTCTCTTCTACAACCTCAACTGAAAAGGTTGTTTGATTTCATTTTTGCTTTGCATATGCCAGGCACACTTCTTCTGATCTTTCTTATGAATTAATTAGAACTTTATATCTCTGTCATTGTTAACATTGCCAAGATCTCAATATGTTCAAGATAAATGTGTGTCTAATGGCATGAAATTCTAGTTAACGTTAATCTTGCAAGTATTTAGTGAACATGAAATCAAATGAATAAATATGTGCATACTTAAATAATCTCCTTTAATGGTTCCATTTGTTAGTGGGTTCCTCTAGAAAGGACATTCCTAATGGTAGTTTAATTACATAATTATATCATCTTCAGTCCACATTATAAAAACTGAAAATGTTTATGGCAGAGTCTATTGGTAGCTTGCAGATAGTTTTGTAAAATCTCTATGAAGATATCTTCACCTTTGCAAAGTGAAAAATATGATAACACTCAGGGTGGAGTGATAAGTCAGTTGGGAATGTGCTTGCCACACAGGCAGGAATATTGGAGTTCCATTGGCAAACCCACTTAAAAATGCTGGTGGGGAGAGGAAAACAGGTGGATCCCTGGGGTTCTCTAGCCACAGTAGCTTAGTCCACTTCAAAAGTTCTAGATCAATGAGATACCCTGTCTCAAGAAACAAAACAAAATACCAAACCAAGGTGGAGGGTACCTGAGGAAGGGCAGCTGATGCTTCCCTTTAGCTTCCACATCCATGTGCATACATGGACTTAAATAAATGCACACACTCATATACACAAAAGAACAAGGAGGAAGAAGTAGAGGAGGAGAAGGAGGACAAGGAGGAGAAATGTAATAATGCCCTTAATGTCCTTTAGAAGTTTGGTACTGTGGTTTTAATGAGAATGTCATCCATAGGCTCAAATGTTAAAATAATTTCTTCTCATCTGGTAATGCTCTCTGAGAATAGTGTGACTTTGCTGGAACTATGTCACTGCAAGCAGGCTTTGAATTTTAAAAGCTATATGCATTCGCAGTTCACTTTCTGTTTCATATTTGCAGGTTAAGATGTAAGCTTTCAGCTTCGAGATCCTCTCACCTTGCCTCCACTTTGACATTATTTATTTTAATCCTCTAAAGCAATAAACACAAATAATCTCTTCTATAAATTGTCTTTGACCTAGTGTTTTATTGCCCCAATAGGAAAAACCAATACAAGTATTGCTACTTTTTCTGTCTTTTTTCTCTATGTATGTAATGGTAGCCACAGTTAGGATTCTCTAAATATATGTGATATTCGGTTAAATGCAAAGGGAGAGAAAGAGTCAGAATTACACCATCTCTTTCAAATGTTTAGATTAATCTCAAAGGTTAGTTCTTTGTATATGTCAGGTCAGAGCTTTGTGTCTGCAGTCAATTAATCCCTCAAAATCTTAAATTGTTAAAATAGTTTTCTTACTCCCAATAAATTACTCTCTAGCTTTTCATACACACACACACACACACACACACACACACACACACACAAATACTGCATCTAATGGCCAGTACTTCAAAATCTATTCTCTATGATCTCACCGAATTGAGACAATGGGAACTAGCTCAACCATAGGAAATGAAATAACCATTATCTAAAGAAATTCATCCAAAGAAAACCCTTTAGTTTCTAAAGAAACTAAAATAAAACATGAAAGGCAATTGTGGAGACACTGCACTTAAGTATAAAATATTCAAGTGCTCTGCTAACTACTAAAAAATATAATATACTCCTGTCTAATGCTTCTCTCGGGTTTCTAAAGTAAGGAATAATTTATGATATCTAGGTAGCATAATATTTAATACAAGCTTCAGACTGAGGCTGAAAAGTCAATCAAGTGAACATAGTTCCCATTTTCCTACCAAAGGATACCCAATTGACTCAAAGGCAATTCTGCAAGTTTTATTGGCTAAAACCAAGCTAGATAAAAATGAAAGTCCTGTTCCCTGCTGTCAATAATACAGAAATGCTGATGTAGCATAAAAAGAGATTTGACATGCTGTCGATAATTTGCAAAACCAAGTCAGTCTCGAGGTTCTGCTTAGTCAGTGTGATAAAAGTACACGATCACTAATCCTTGAATCTTATAACAGTCATCTATAACTCAGGTGTACACAGCATCAGGTGCATACATGAGCAGTCAGGCCTACTGTATGTACTACAACTCCACACTAGATTCCAGTTTCAAATTTGCACTCACCTAATTTGGATGTTAGCTGCCTCTGGTAATCAGGGTGAAGGACATGGTGAGCATTTTCTGTGCTGCTATTCCACAGAACAATTTCTCCATCATAGCTCCCTGTAGGAGTCAGGGCAAAGAGCATAAATTACCAGATGATTATATAGAAACATGCAAATGGAAACAAAAGGAAGCTGTTATCAACATGCATTATACAAAATCTTGTAAATAGTAGGTATTTTCTCTTTTTGGAGCCATGAATAATAATGATACCTGATACATTAACTGTAGAATTTCAATATCTATAAAATAACCCATGTAGTTGTGAGCCAATTAGCTATATTATTTTACTATAATAAATCATTCTGAATAAAATCTCTGAAGTTAAACAGCTTGAGTCTGAGTTCAGGTTCTGCCAATTATTAGCTATGTAGCCAGACACATGATATTAACTCATCTTGATGCCAAACAGTCTTCATCTATAAAACTGAGTTAACAATTGTACTTATGGGGTTATTTTAAGGACGAAAAGTATTTAAAGTGGTGTTAACCACTAGGCAGGTATTGAGAAAGTGTAAACTCTTAAGAGTTCTGTTCCTATACTTTTTGTGTATGAGAGAGAGTTCTTTGCATTTCTTTCATCTAAATTCTTTGTGAATTGTTTTCTCCAGTTCTACACTTCTCCCTACAGAAAGTCATTTGCTCCTGTTCTGTTTTGTTTTTATAGGAACAGGAGGAAATCTCAAACAAAATTTATAACCAAGCCTGTGCTATGGAAAAGACACATAGCAGTGTCCAAATGGCACTCAGTGGTCACTGAGAATAGTTCACTACTGAGAAGATAATGGCAAGTGAGGAACACAAAGGACAGCTGAATTTGGGTCAGGCATATATATGGTGACTTCGTAAGATTTGAGGAGGGGGGCATATTAAGCTTTGTGCTGTTCTGGACAGAGCAATCCACTTAGCCCAGAAACTATCAGGCAAGGGGATATATTCCAGCTCCCCATGGCAGATATACTATTATCCACTTTGAATACAAATGCATTATGTTCAAAGTGCTTGGATGAACATTTTCCCTGTGTAACTGAGAGCATTAGAATGAATTAAGAGTTATATTATGCCAAAGAGTTAATTTGTTCCATGACATACCTATAACGAAGTGATAACATGTCATCTAATACAGATACCGAAGAGAGTTAAGATATTCTTATATTTTTGGTTGTATACCTAGCCTTTAATTGCTAAGCCATCTCTCCAACCCCACAGTTAAGATACTCTAATTAAGAAGGATTTCAGTGCCACCAAGGTATGATTTTTACCCTAATACTGCTTTGGAAAAATGAACAATACATTCACAGTTCGTGATCACTAATGAGTTTATTGTATGTTAACCACCATGTAAAAACATAACACTGGCTTTCTGTGCTTTAAAGCAAGAATGCACCCCAAACTAATGTTAGCTAGGGAGAACTGTAAGTTGAAGGTTGAATAACTCACAATATCATCCAGTAACTAAGTAGTAGAGCCCAGTGTGTGAAATGACAGATACAGCCATGGAAGCTGGCAGTACTAACTACCATAACAATAAGGATTTAAAGGACCTATAAGACTGCTTCATTATTCTCTTTTCAGTTGAGAAAAGTCTTTAAAAAAGATTACCCAAAGGCAACACACTATCTCTAGTCCATTGTGCAGGGAAGGCTCAATTTACCTGTAGCAAGAGTTTGCGGGGGTAAAAATGCAGCGCACAAGATGTCATCTTGGTGATGGATTCCCCCCTTCCACTCTTCAGGCTGGATGGAAAACTGATTGAAGTTCTGGGGTCGAAACACAGTAACTGCTCTGTAAAATGATATAGAATTTAGCTGCAAATCTAAAATTGGTACTGATATTGAGTAGCCATTATCCACTTGAATGGTGCAATTTGAAAAGTCTGGAAGACTATACCACCCAAAATTTTGTCATCACTTGCCATCCATAATAAAGTAAGCTTCCCATTAAAATTCTTACATTAAATCTCTGTACATTATAAATGCTTAATGTAGGAAGGTTAATTATGCTTCCATAACCATTAAAGTCAAGGATACAGCCATTTATCAGATTAATTATCTGTTTTCAAGACCCTGAAACAAAATTTCCTCACATGAAACTATTAAGATTTTTATGGCAATAATAATTGTCTGCTAGTTTAAATTAAATCATTATGGTTTCTTTCACCAAAGTTGCTTCTTGGGGTGTTTACATGTTATCATTCCCTATGACATTTTCCAAAATTACAGTAGCTACAAAATTGATTCTCTTGGAGTTCACCGAATCTTTAAGAGCTACCATTTGTAGAAAATGTTTGAAAACTGCCATTTCCAAGAATTATGAGATCTAGAAAACATAGAAACAACAGTTTTAGAGAAATCAACCCTGAGGCACTGCTGACAAATCTGAGTGTATACCATAGTAAAGATAGAGTGGATAGTCTGAGGCCTAGGAGGGAATGAGGGAATGCAGACAACAGTTTATGGGAGAATCTGTACTGCCCTATTCCCATTCAGTGTCTTGAGCTCTGGTTGACAGCCAGTATGAAGCCTCCCCTTCTTTTCATGGCTACCCTCCTTTCAAATGACCATTTGTTACCATAGCTTGAGTCTTCACTATCATTCTTCCTCCCCTCCCTGACATCACGCTTCTTCTCCCACTTAATTGTCAAACCAAAATGAGTCTTTGCTTATGAACAAGAAGCTGTTTTTTTCTCCTTGAAATTCTTGCTTCCAGCTAACAACCTAAAGTGCTGTGTATCGGTGAAGTTGACTGTGGAAGCAGGATACACCCTCTCCATTTCCAGACCCAAGTATGATGATCCCAAAGTATCCTCTGAGGCCCTTCATCTCAGATGGACTGTTTACCTATCAAATCTGTGACATTTGGGAGTAGAGGACTGAAAACTAGCCCAAGAGTGAAAACGAATAGAAAACAAACCATTTCTAGTTGATGTTACATGAAGAAAATGTTCAATTAGGAACTCCAGCTGACTGTCTTAAACTCCCAAGTCCATTTTTCCTGGATATTTTGAGCACTGCATTTGACAACATTTTGTTACCTACCTGTCTATAAATCATCTATATAGCACTTGCTATTTATTCAAAACAAAGGAATGACTATCATGGATCCCTCCCCATACAGTACAGAACACAGTTCTTGCTTATCTGCTTGCCCTCTTTATTATTCATTCCCGAGTGTCCATTTTCTTGACCCTACTGTCTCTCACCCTTTTGGTTTAAACATTCTTTAACTCCACTGGTCCCCTTCTCTCTGTTCATTCACAGATTCCATGTATCACCATGGATTCTAATACAAATGAATTTCTTTTGATCTTCATCCACAACGTTTACCAGGATTGGATGGTTTCAGTTTGCCAGCTGGTAATTCTATACATATTGTCCTTCCATCGCCAACATATCTTAACACATGACAAATCAAATATGACAGCTTCTTTCCACACTCTATCCTGAACTCGAGACTTTGGTTTACAGACAGATCATCATTACAGCCTGTTCTGTGCCATTTTTGCCTCTGCTCACAAACACTTACAATTTACATCACCCATGTTTGACATATTCATTCTTTTCACTTGCACTTTAAATGGCTACTTAGAGCTTCCTAGTACAGAGTTCTCCACCCCACTGGTCAACAACTGTAAGAGGCTCCTAACCCAATCTTACTGCTGCTAAGTCTACTCTCCCCACATGAAATCTTCATCCTGATACTGGATTCACCTTTATATTCTGGAGCTCTTAATATTCCCTCATTCTTCAATAAAATATTGCTTCTCCACAGCATGTCTTAAACATTTAGAACCAGGAGCCCAAAATGATGAAAACATTAAGTGCAATATGATATGTGCTAAACAGCACCATTTAACTGCCTTGAAGTCCAGAGCACAGATCATGGAGGTCCAGTTGAGGACTGATATTTATTATACAGAGCATAGAAATTATATAGGGCATGGAAGAAAGAAGCATGCTGGGAAGAGGAGACAAGACAGTGAAAGATGAAGTTGAAGTCTTGCTTAAAAACACTCCCTGGGTTTCCGTTTCCCACATTACAAAATTCAAATTTGAAAGCCTGTTTTTTTTCTCCAGATCCAAAACTATACAGACTTAATCTCCTTCTCAAGAAATATTTCTCCCTATTCTGCCATTGCCTCTTAGCAGTGTGTGTGTGTGTGTGTGTGTGTATTTTCAATGAACTTTTGAGAAAGGCCATAGAAAGCCATAAAGTAATATTCTTTGTACAGCATTGAAGAAATAGTACTTTATTAAAAATAGAGATTATATAATATAATAAAGTACTATGTCCGTCTGAATTGTACAAATAGATTACTAGGTTTCAAATTTACTGCCTTACTGGGAAGTTTATAAATGTCAGGCATATCCAGGGATAAGTTACAGAAAAAAAATCATCTTGCCCAAACTGAATTTGTATTGTTCTCTATTTCCAGATGTTCAGTTTAACTTTGTGGTATCTTATATTCTTCTAGGGGAGCCTCATGTTTCTGTATCCTATGCCCCATCTTCTCAGGCCACTCATATTCCATGAATGTTCCATAAGAACTAGAATGTTGCAGAGAGGGAGGAATGAATATCAAAGGAGTCGGTACCAGGCTCGTGAAACCCACAAAAACAGCTGGCCTGAACAAGGGGGAGCTCATGGACCCACCCCAGACTACTGTCTGGGAGGCCAGCACAGGACTGATCCAGACCCCTGTACATGGATGTCAATGAGGAGTCCTCGGCACTCTAGGGGGCCCCTGGTAGTGGATTAGTATTTTTCCCTGGTATAAGAAGGGACTTTGAGAGCCCAATCCACGTGAAGGGATGCACTCTTGGCCTGGATACATGGGGCAGGGCCTACACCCAGCCCAGGATGATGTGATGGACTTTGAGGAGCCCCGAGTTGGGCCCTACCCTGCCTGGGAGGTGGAGGGTGGATGGGGTGGGGTGCAGATGGGGAGTTGGGGGGTAGGGTTGAGGGAAGGGGAGGGAGAAGGGATTGACATGTGAAGCAAGCTTGTTCCAAATTTGAACTAAAAAAATTAATTACAAACAAAATTAAAAATAAAATAAAAAAAAGAACTAGAATGTGAAGAAATAATGCCCTTCCGATCTCTTCAGTTATTCACTTTCACTAATTAAATTAATATTATAAGTACAAACAAGGGATCTTTGTTTCTTGGCCTGATTGAGTGAAAGTGGAAACTATCAGTTTAAGTGAGCTTTCTGTGGCAATTCCACCTCGGGATTCACCCCTTTCTTCCTGTGCTCCATTTTCCTTGGTAACATTCATTATTGTGTTCTATATTTTTTTGTTTCTTTCTTTTTGGTTTTTCTGTTTCCAGGAAAAAAAAGTAAGTAAAGTGCATGAAACCGAAAGTTTTCCACCTGCATTGCCAATGCTAGAACAATATTTCATACATTTAACAGGCATGCTACAAGTATCTACCAAATACAGTTTAAGAATTACTCCTCTATTTTAAAAATAATAACTTTAATATGTATATCATTAATTGAGACTTAGAAAAACACTACAAATAAGAAAATTCAAAGTTCTGAAATTCAGTTTACTATCACAATATCATGTGAATATATTTCTAAGTTTCTCTCTCTACTAGTAGGTTAAGGAAGGGTGAATAGGGAGTGGAAGTGAGAAACGCAGATCAGTCCTATATCTATTATGTAAGCCAAGTTTCAATGTCAAATGTGTTTTTGCCAAGATTCCTATATTAAATATAGATATATTCAGGGCACAGCACCCAAGGTATGAAATGTTTTTCATAATATGCTACAAAAAAAACAGCCCTTTTGACATTTGATCTTCTATGTCAAAACACTGAAAAACTAATAACCTGGCACCTTTCCCTTAAAACCTAACTTGAAACTCTGATTTGAAATGACAGTGATCCTTAAAATACCTCAAGAATTCACACTCCATGTCTCACCCTTTCCACCTCAAACACAACTCTTTTTTTTTTTTTAAGTTTGGACTTTGCCAAGAACAAAATAGAAGTTCAGAATGAGCCAGTTTTTGGCCATTTTAAGGGTCAGATAGACTTGTTATTTGGCACTGAAGGAGTTTACCAGTTCTCTTCCATTCCTCATGGGTGAAATCCTGAGAGTATTGCCCTGAATCATGGCCACATTGCAAAGAAGCTGATTATGAAGAAAACACTGTCAGCGACCTGTTCCTTCTGAGATTGATTGCTCATATGTTGTTGGTCCAGTTGTTTTGAGTCTCATTAATACTTCTCCTTTGATCCATGGCTTATTAGATTTATAATGAGTATCTTAGAAGCAGAAAACCCATTTCTAATCATTTTGCTTTTATTTGTTCTTCTGATTTTTCTTTTTTAAAATCTGTGAGGACAAATTTTGCACATCGAAACAATCACAAATTAAAGTTTAGGAAGTATCTGTAACTTTCAAATATACTTATTCTCTCCTTAGTTCCAAATGGCAAATTTAAAATAAATCACAACTTTAGACCCATCCATTTTGATTCTTATTCCAATAATAGAAATTAATTGTGTCACATCGGTCTACTTCCTTAGAAAGGCAATTATTAGAAAGACCTCAATATCTTTTCTTAGGTAAGTCTTATTCCTGAGCAACTTCAAATCTCTAAGGTCATTTCATTTAGAAAACACTTTAAAGCCCAGGAAACTCTGAAGTGACCTCATTTAATTTCTAACATCATATATAAAACTACACATGGAATTGGAAGATTGAGATTTGGGAGAAATGGAGAAGGACATAATTAAATAAACAACTGCTTATTAAGCACATATTTTTATACAGTTTAACAAAGGGTGGGCTACCAATAATATTTTCAGAATTGTTTTAAATAGCATTTAAAGATTCTTTAATATTTGTACATGAGTAAAGGTGTATAAGGTGATAATTATAATAATTGACTGTTACCATTTCACAATGTGTACAAATATTAAAAATTTGGTTGTATACTGCAAACATTAATACAAACTGTTTTATTTGTTGATTATATCTAGATATAGCTGGCAGAAAACACATAGATTTCTCCTCTATACAAATAGTAAAGCAGAAGCTGTCTGTTTTTAATGGTCTGTAAACAGAGAAGAATGTAAGTTTCTAGAAGATATTGCCTGCCTACTAAGGTAAAGGTATAGATGAAATTAGATAATATATGTAAAGTACACACTGCTTCATAGCACCAGGAAGAAAATAAATCAGCTAGTGTATTTAGGTGCCTCATTCAAGAAAAGCAATTTCTACTCACTCCTGAGCGTAATTATCAAACCAATCTCTATATTTAGATAGAGCCTGAAGTTAAAGCTTCAGCTTAACCTAAGAGGCTCTCTCTGGATTTTCCAGAAAGCTTGATAAGATGATTGTCAATCTTTACTTTTCCTTCTTTAATCACTGAACCATACTGATCTGGCTTCAAGGCCATATATCCTCAGCTATAACCAAGCAGTTGCAATTTGGCTTTATGATCTAAAAAGCCTCCTAGTAGAAATGACTCTGTCTGGTTCATGAAAAATCTACCCTAATGTAATGTCTCTAAAAAAAACATATTTCTGAAATCCCTATCTTCAAATGTTGCATAATATAACTGATAATTCATTAATGAAATCACTAGATAAAAGACCCAAGACTAACAACTCTACAAAAGATGGAAAAAACTGGAGACGAAGATGGAAAAATCCTAATTTTCTTTCATTTTAGTCTCCCTAAATTTTCTCATTGTTCACAGGAAGTAACTAACAGTCCACCAACATATATCACAGTGCAAAATGTTTCTTTAAGCCACTTTTCAATAACTCAATATGTCAAACACTTTAAATTTTTCTTTGTAAGCAATCAGAAATATTATCTTTGAGGCTAATTTTTTACTGTGATTATCTAAAATAATACAAAGAAATGCTATCTGTAACTTTTGTTTTAATTCATTCTTTGTTATGAATGTAAACTGAATCAGCTGGATACCATACACTCACCAGCCCATGGAATTAGAGACTTAAATTTATTCATAAGCATGGCCTAGTTATAGGCCTCTGAGCCCTAGCCGGCTGAAGAATTGTAACTTGATAATGGATAATGATTGCTCCCGGGGATGTGAAGAAGCCTTGTCCTTCCAGCTAAGGATGATTGAATTGGTCTTTAATATCAAGTGGGATGATCTGAACTACACTTTCTTTATCATCAAACTGTCCTTGAAAACAGTTAGTCCACATATAATCATTTCAGAATTGAGAAATAAAATGTCCTTTCTATGATTGAAAAAAAATCACCCAACATACACTGCTAGTTTTCTAGGTATTAAAAATGTCTGAACCTTAGCTTCAGACTATAAAAGTTTTTGTTATATAACAAACAATACCAGACAAGTTACCAAGTATAGTGATATTTTATGAATTATCAAAATCTAAGTGATAAATTCTTGAAACAGAACACACTTAATTTCCCTGGTGTTTATACAATGACATAGAAATGACCCTATCTATGATCCCTTTGTTCTCTTAATAAAAGTAAAAGAAAAAATTATTTTCCTAATAATGGAATGAAAAAGTGTACCTATGGAAGAAAGACTATGCTCTGTGAAGAACATTTCCACAGCGATTGGAGAAGGGGCTAGAATAGGGGTCAAGGAGCCATTTCTCTCATATAGCAAATAATAGCTCTCTTACTGTGATGAACCTAACCTGTGGTTCATAGGTGTTTGGAATTGGTTTGTAAAATAGATGTGGATACATTTGGAGATGCTGGGTATGAAACTGTATCTAGAGAAAAATAAAACATTTCCTATACAGTTGGGGGAAGCAATTTCCACTACAAAGATTTTTCCTGAATTTACAATATAGGAGAGAAGTAGAAAGTCAGGAAATGGCATTACATATTTATCTGGGATTTTGAAAATAAGACCCAAATTTCCAAACCCAGGAGAAAGCCCCAAATGGTTCCACTAGTCACACAAGCTGGATAATTTTACAGTATTTCATTCACAAAACACCCAGACCATTCCAATTCTCCTATCTAATTACTCATAAACAAATGAGACTTTTTTGCTCTCCTTTTATATTTTGATTCAAATAAAAGCATCTTCATCTTCTCTTCTGACATGTTATATAGGTACATCATACCTCTCCCAGCCCACAACCAGGATAGTCTTCTTAAGAACCAGGATCTGTGAGATATCCACAACTCCATCTTGCCCAACACTTAGGGTGTGGTGACAATATCCATTAAAATCCCACACCTTTAAGAGAAAAATGAAAACCAACATTTAGATGGAAACATGAAGATATCTTCAGTGCATAAAACAATACATGATAATAGGAAGAGTTTGTTAAATATGGGTATGTACATTCTGTGTTGGTCTAAATTGTCAATTTTGTGAGATTTGAAATACCTTAGGAGGCAAATCTCTTACTCTTAACTCTAAGGATATTTTCAGAAAGAATTAACTCATCTGGAAAGATCCACTCTGAATGTGAACAGTTCATCCCATGGTGGAGATCACAGACTGAGTAAAAAGAAGAACATGGATGGTGTGTGTATTGGCATTTATGAGTCTGTTTTCTGACTGACTCCACTTTTAGTGGACCAGTCTCTTCAGACTTCCCCACCATAATGAACTGTCCTTCAAACCATAACCCAAAATAAACCCATTGTTAAGTTGTTTCTGTCTAGAATTTTATGACAACAACATGAAAAGTAACTAATACAAAAACTAAGTAGCAAGGAGGAGGTCTCTTACTGTGAGAAAACTAACCATATGGTTAATAGTCCTTTGAAACTGGTTTTTGGAAGATGTGTGCATAAGTCTGGAACTGCTGGGTACTGATGCTCTAGAATGCCTTAAGAACTTACTGAGTTGTTACCGAGGGTTTGAAGGATAGGACTGCTGAGAGAAATTTGCATGGTAGAGGACAAGCTTGTGAGTTGTTAGAGGGGAACAGGACCTTTAGAGAGAACTGAGCTAGATGATATTTATGTTATGATTTGGCAAAGAATCTGAAACATTCTAATCTTGTTCTGGGAACTTAAGTGGAACTGAGTTTTAAAAGTCATGACTAACCTCCTTCTGTGTAGGGGTGTATGGATTTGACCCTGTACTTCTCTCGCTCTCTCGCTCTCTCTCTCTCTCTCTCTCTCTCTCTCTCTCTCTGTGTGTGTGTGTGTGTGTGTGTGTGTGTGTGTGTGTGTGTACCTGTGCTTCTCCTGCTTTTTCTTTGTTTTGTTTTTATCTATGTTTTTTCTTTTGTTTTATTCTAGTTTATTTATTTGTTTGATTGCTTGCTTATTTTCTAAAGATAGAGAAAAGAAAGGAAGGAGATGAAAAGATGGAAAGGTATGGAGAAGCATGAAGGAAATGAGAGAAGGGAAGCCTTGGTCAGAGTATATTATGTGAAAAAAATCTATTTTCAATAAAAAAGTAAAAGAGAAATTTGTTTGGCAGAAGATTGCATTCAGCCTGTGACATGGATACTACTCATTGTTCTTATCTTGTTCTCCCATGAGACAGCAGGAAGTAGATCAGAGCAGTATGAAAATGTTCAGAGAAGAAAGGGTTTGAGTGAGTTTGAAGTTGCAGACCAGATAGCTGAGATAAAAGCAGCTATAAATGTTGAAGAGATTAATGCCATTAAAGAGATAAATAATGTTGTTCATCTTAACAATAGAAAAGGTGCCATGAGGACAAGACATCTACCATCAAAGTCTGCAACTTAGAAATGAAAATTCACTTATAATAGGAAAGCCTGGACTGAAATACTATCAAACTTATTTCTTACTTGAAAACCACTCCATAAATATGTATATTCAGAGATTTGACCATCCAAACACACAGAAGACATTATAATTATTGTAGAAGGGCCAAACTACATCTCAATATGGCAGCAGATCTTGGCAGAAGCGTCAACGTGGTCTTGGGTTGACAGATACATACAATTTGAGAGTTAATAATTTAGGCTTGCACCAAGTTTTCAGAAAGCTGCTGAAACCTGATAATATATAGAGTCAGATGCCCAGCGACAGGGTTTTCAGAGGTCATGTGTGCAGCTGTGGAGTTGCATTATAGTGACCAGGATGTTAACTGTACTAGAACCAAGTAATATCTGTTGAAGAAATTGTATGCAGATTGGAACTTACTAAAAGACAGTGATGTGTACGAAAGGCTTCAAAACTACAAGAATAGTACAATCTCTGGCTGTTAGGGTCCAAAAGATTCTATCATGATCACAAGATAGAGTTGTTGAATTTCATGTTTGACAGGATAGATGGGTGGATTGCTTTAGCCCAATCATTCTTTGCCCTACATTTATTTTGAAATGTGATATTTATTTTGTCATTGTACACTGTGTGTGTGTGTGTGTGTATGTGTGTGTGTGTCTGGGTGTGTCTGGGTGTGTCTGTGTGTGTGTGTGTGTGTGTGTGTGTGTGTGTGTGTGTGTGTCTGTTTGTCTGTGTGTGTTTGTACAGGGATCATAATTATCTTGAGTTGTAACTAAAAATTGAGTTGCTCACCAATTTCAAGTTTTGGCCTCTGAATACTGCTAGAACTGTTAAGATTTTGGGAACTCTTATAGATCAACTGAATGCATTTTATATTATGAGATGTTCATGAGCATTGAAGTCTATTGGTGGAATGATTTCTGGTGCTGGAAAGAACTCAGTAGAGTGCATGTTTTGTATGCATAGCATCCTAGGTTTAATCCCCAGGACTACACAAAAAAAAAAAGTGGTATGTTTGGGTATTAAGTTGACAAGGAATGGCTTTGTGATGAGTAATTTGTTAAATTGGTGGAATTTAGAGTCATCTAAGAGACAAACTTCTGAGTACATCTTTTAAGGTTTTTACAAAGATTTATTTGAGGAGGAAGGACCCAACCTTACTGTGGTGATACCACTCCATGGACCATGATATTAGACTGGATTATAATAAGAAAAGCTATTGTAGCATTCCGCTGTCTTTGTTTCCTTATTGGAGATTTGATGTGACCAGCTGGTGAACTAAATCAGTGACTCTCAACCTCCCTAATGTGGTGACCATTTAATACAGTTCCTAATGTGGTCATACCCAAACATAAAATTATTTTCATTGTTACTTCATAATGTTGTTTTTTTACTATTAGTAATTGGAATGTAAATATCTTTGTTTTACTATGGTCTTAGGTGACTCCTGTGAAAGTGTCATTTGACCCCCCCAAAAGGAGTCTTGACCCACACATTGAGAACAGCTGAACTAAACCCTAAAGCTATGAGGAAAATCTACTCTGTAGTAAATATAATTATAGTAGGTTATGTTATAATCAATCTTCTCAGAATTCAAATTTAGGTGTATCTATTACTCTTGTAACACAAAAGATGCTTGAAATATCTAGAATGAACAAGAATGATGCATTAATGAATGATTGGTAACTGAAAATATATTTGTAGATTTGAAGTATGGGGTGATTACAGGACAAACCAAGGCATTGGAAAGTTGAGAATGAGGTTCTCCCAGGGTCTGTGGGAGAGAAACTGAAATTTTAGTTGCTCACCAATGAGTATAGATGCAACTAGCCATGTCCAAGCAATGAAGCTTTAATAGTAGAAACAGCAAATCAGGATTACATTGTTTCTAATGAGGTGAGCGATGAATGAACCTGGAAAGTGTAAGCTTTCCCAGCAAAAGGAGGGCATGGAAGTCCCATGACCCTGTTCACAAGCCTTTCTTCAGACTTTTCCAACTGGCTTAAGTGGTATCATATGATTCAACCACCAGGAGATGGATCATGCCTATAATGTGCACAGTCCTTGTTCCATTCTCAGAAATACCTTCCACGTACACAAAAAGAGATTAATCGTCTGCTATTTCTAGACTCGCCCCCAAAACTCTAACAGCTATGACACCTTTGACTGAGATGCTTTAACTCTTGGAGCTTTAGCACCCTCAATTGTAAAATATGGATTTGACC